CTTACCAAATACAGTGGTGGAGGCGGCAGCGGCAAGCGAAAACTGGAAGGGATCGGCTCGCCCCCGTGCCAGCCGGATCTCCTCGAGCTTCATCATAACCATCGATCCGGATCTGGCCAATATCGACACTGAGATCGTCATGAACTCCTACTATCTTGGTGAAGAGACCATCCAATTTAGCAGAACTTCAGTCAAACATCTTGCAGACTTCCCTGATGGTCGTGGTTCGCTGATACTCAAGCTTGCGATTGATGTCGTCTTTGAAGCCACTCCGAAGCAGATCATAGATGCGCCTCCCTTCTGTTGTCAACTCCTCCATTGCCTCTTGTTGCCTGCAAACCTTGTGCGGGTGTAGTGGATGTGGCCCTGCAGCGCCAGGACTCCAGGACGCGACTCTGAATACCATATTGTTAACACTGCTAGTTGAGCTATGGGGTCATGGCCATATTGGATTGAGTTCGAGCTAGGGTTTGCATTTCAGAGGTACTCTGTCCGACCTCCCTCACCTCTGTTCTAAGATTACAAGCCGGCCGAATGGCCTTTATTCTTTGCCAAGTTCTTCTCGCTACGGCTAGCTAGTTTAACAGGTAAACAGTTACAGGGTCAATCGATCCATTCACGTCCTACAAGGCGGGCTGATGGACGAGCAACTCTCTTGGGCCGGGCCACCTGCCCATTTCCTTCATTTTCAATCCTCGTCACGGTTGGAGACCTGACAATGCAACCCGGTGGAAGAGTGGAGATGATACCGTGCATGTTCAATGACCGGCCGAACTCAACTTGGGGTGAACATGAAACAGGGGTGGAGGCCGAGGCCGAGGCCGTTCGTATAGTCTCGTTTGAATGCAACCGCGGCTCGCCCCTTTTTTTAGTAGAAAAGGAAGTGCAGAGGAAGATTTTTCTTCGCACGAAAGCTCCACCCGTGACAAACTGCACGAGCGGATAGTCCTCGATATTCGTTTGGTGTGTGTGTGTGTGGTTGGTTCGATATTTCTGACTGGCTAATCCTTTGCTAATCCACACGGTGGATGTCGACGGCCGACGGGAGATGATTCCACCCACACCACGAAGCCAAAGGTAAACTTCGTTCACATTTCATCATCCAACAGAAATTCCCGACGAAGCCAAATTCTTCGTCTCCGAGAACATGTATCTGTTGCCTTGTATTGAGAATCGATGAAACATTAAAATAGACTGACTGATTGATTCTTGTATGTATACAAGTACATGATGCTATTGCTACTCCTCGGTATGTACGTTTTCCAGGCCGTATAAAAAATCTCTATAAACTGAACTGCTTTTACAGATTTAGTGATTCAGTCTCGCTCAAAGAAGAAGAAGAATCAGAGAGCCAGAAGCTACAAAAAGTTAAAAAGGATGATCGCTAATGGAGTACAATTCAGTTCAGGCAATGGCAAGGGCTCAGGAGGCTGGCACCGGCGATGGCGGCAGGCGCGAGCTGAAGTTTCTGCGCCGGAAGGCGGCGTCCTCCGCGTCGGCATCGCCGTCGTCGCTGCTGCCGTCGTCGAAGTTGAGCGCGTAGCTGAGCGGGTTATACCGGAACTCCCCCGCGGCCGCCACGCGCCTCCTCCATCTGGCCCTGCTGCCGCCGGTGTGCGGCCTCTCCCCGCCGCTGCCTGGTGAGGACGGCGAGCCGAAGCAGCCGCATACCGTGGTCCGCAGCTTGTGGCGCAGCGAGGGCGGCGAGTAGGGCGAGGAGGACTCCACCGCGTCCATGGTGACTGCCTGGCTTGGTACTAGTGTGCTTGAGCTTGTAGGAGCTGAAGAGATCTCCTGTGTGAGTGAGGAGGTGGAGGGTTGGCAATGGCTGTGGATGGAGAAGGAGGGTCGGGGAAGGCGGGACTAAATAGGTGTAGAAGGGAAGAAGGACGGAGAAGGACAGGGCGCGGGCGACGGCGTGAAGGTGAAGGGCGATAGACGCGCACGCAGACGCGGGGAAGCAAACGCCGTAGTGCACGCGTGCGGTTAGACAGAGGTGAGGGAGGTGGGCGATGGCAACGGTCGGTCCTCGTGCAAGCTGTCTCACCCACACAGGATGCTTTATTTTTTTTGCGAGAAGCGCACACAGGATGCTGACAGTAGTAACGGTAACAACAGTGGACGCTTAGCTACCGTCGTTTTTTTTTTTGCGGGAGAAATAGCATTTCATTACTCAATCACAACGTCTTTACAATCAAACGATGCTATTTCCACTATTTCATCTGGACCAGCTCCTAACCAAGTCAAGATCCTGCCTTGGGTTCTAGCAAACTTAGCTAAGCAACCACTAGCTTTATTTTAAGATCTAACTATATGAGAAATACAAGTCTTCCTTAAACCCATGAGGTGCTTAATCTCTCTAACAATAGAGGAATAAACCGAACGATCCGTATCTAAGCTTGATATGAGGGAGACTGCTTCGAGAGAATCCATCTCCACCACGATCGGCAAAACACTTCGCTGCAAGGCAAGAGACAAGCCTTCCATACACGCACACAACTCCACCTCAAGGGAGTCTCTGCACGAAAACAACACCCTACATGACGAGAAATTGATAGCTCCTCGATGATCACGTAAAATCATGCCCGCATCGCAGGCTTTTCTTTTATGTGGTAATATAAAGCACGATCGGCCGTTGTTGCTATACTATCACGTCAAGCGTCAAACATCTTCCCGTGCTCTCTTATTTTTCTCTTTGTAGATCAACATCTGATGCTCACGCGGACGTACGCTGGGGCTCCATTCACGTACTACCTTCGCATCACATAGACCAGAGGAGAACTTTTTTCTTTTCGACACCAAAACAGAGGAGGACATGATAGAAAGTGTTCCGCAACTCCTGCCGGCGAGTCCGGTCCAAGGTTGCGGAGCGGGAGCGAGCGTCGTTGACGAAGTAGTCGTACACGCGAAACTAAATGACACAGAGAGATATGGAGGAGACCAGCTTTATTAATCAATGATCATGGGTTACAATGATGGCTCCTCGGTGCTTTATATAGGGAAAAGGGGGTCAAAGGATAAGTACCCACTTAACGATACGAGGGGAACGGGAGGGGCTAGCCCGTGCGTTTAGCACGCGGCTGCCGCCACCCTCCGGATGACCCGGTTTCCCAACACTCCCCCTTGGGTAATTATCCATATATCCATGCCTCAAAACTCCGAAAAACCCAGTGAGAAAAAATACGGAGAAAGAGCACATAGTATACGTTGTTGTATTGCACGAATTGCCTCGTCAAAAACCTCATGTGAGAAACATCAGGAAAACTCACTCAAGGGAAAAAGAGTACAATCCACTCAACCATCAAGTTGAGTACTCGATCATCGGGATTGAGATTTTAGCGAAGAGTTTGTGAAGTTTCTCCCCCTAAACCTTGCATCTCTCTAAGTCTCATCATACCAATTCCACGCACACACCTCTCTAAGGTTGATGCCGGTAATGATTTAGTGAACATATCAGCAAGATTATCACAAGACTTAGTATGCAAAACTTTCACCTCATTCAACTGCTGCAGCTCATGTGCATAGAAGAACTTGGGACTAATATGCTTAGTGAGGTTACTCTTCACATAACCCATCTGGACTTGTGCAACACAAGCAGCATTATCTTCATAGATAATGGTAGGGGTTTGTACGGTGTTCAGGCCACATGTCTGCTGAATGTGGCCGATCATCCGCCGAAGCGATACACACTCTTTCGACGCTTCGAATAGTGCCATGATTTCTGAGTGGTTTGTGGAAGTCGACACAAGTGTTTACTTGGACGATTTCCAGAAAAACGCAGTTCCACCACAAAGGAAAACATATCCAGTCTGCGATTTGCAATCATGCGGGTCTGATAGGTACCCAGCATCTTGATTCCTTTTATAAAACAGGCCAAGAGCTTTGGTCCCTTGCAGGTAACGGAAGACGTCCTTGACACCTTTCCAATGTCTTTTGGTAGGTTCAGGACTGTACCGCGCAAGCAAACTGACGGCGAACGCTATGTCTGGCCGTGTACAGTTTGCGAGATACATGAGTGCTCCAACTGCACTCAGGTAAGGAAATTCTGGTCCCAGAGTTTCCTCCCCCTCTTCCTTTGGCCTGAATGGGTCCTTGTCTGGCTGTAAAGACCTCCCGACCATCGGGGTCTTAGAAGGATATGCCTTATCAAATCCAAATCTTTCCAACACCTTCTGGGTGTAGGCCGACTGGTGCACTAGAATCCCATCAGGGGAATGTTCAAGTTGCAGACCTAGACATAACTTGGTTTTACCCAAATCCTTCATCTCGAATTCCGACATCAGGTAGGAACTCGCTTCCTCAATATCCTCAGGTGTGCCGATTATGTTTAAATCGTCCACGTACACCGAGATTATACAGAATCCATCTTGGGATCGCCGTATGAAAACACATGGGAAATCTTTATTGCTCGTGTAGCCCTTCTCATGAAGGAAATCGCTTAAGCGATTGTACCACATTAATTCTACCAGACTGTCTGAGTCCGTACAGTGCCTTTTGAAGTTGAACACTTTATAGACCCCTGTTTGCTCTATCATGGTTCGGAACAGGGATACCTTCTGGAACCTTCATGTATATGTTCGAATCCAAGTTACCATACAGGTAAGCAGTGACAACATCCATTAGTTTCATTTTCAAGAACATGTTTACTGCCATCGAGATCAAGTATCTAAAGGTAACTCCATCCATGACCGGGGAATAAGTCTCCTCAAAATCGACACCTGGTCGTTCAGTGAACCCTTGAGCGACGAGCCTTGCTTTGTACCGTACTACCTTATTATTTTCATCTCTCTTTCGAACAAAAACCCACCTATGGCCAACAGGGCGAATGTCGGGAGGAGTTCGACAAACTGGTCCGAACACCTTCCTTTTGTTGAGAGATAATAATTCGGTAGTAATCGCCTGCTGCCAATCTTTCCAATCAGACCTTTTCTTGCAATCAGCGAGCGTGTTAGGCTCAGTGTCAAGATCTATGATTGAGGCAATTTTCGTAGCAAAGTTGATGTCGACAATCACCGTTGCTCGGTTCAGGGACTCCCCCGTATAAATATAATTTATGCCCATTTCGTCATGGAGCGCATCTGGCGCAAACACTTGCTCTACCAAATTTCCCATTATGGGAGCAAGGTCCTTTAGATTTCCCGCGCCGATGTGTGCGCTCACATCTCCGCTGGGTGTTTCCCCTATGGGAAAGTTTAAGTCCGGAATTTTGTGCACTGAATTTTCCGTACTTGTGTCAGGTCTCGACTGGCTCCCCGTTTCAATTTGGGGTACTTTGGCGACAGGCTGCGATAAATCTCTCTTATCCTTTTTCGTCAGGCGTCCCTGAGTACTTGGGATTTGAGAAGCCGGATTTCTCGTCCTTTTAGGCCTTTGGACGGGAGCGGGTATACCATCATTTTTCTTTGGTATTTCAACCCTTTTCGGTGCATTGCGCGCGTGCACATGCGATTTTGTCACAGTCTTTAATTCACTAAAGTGGTCAGGCAGTTGATTTTCTAAAGACTGCAAATCTATTATCTTTTGGACTTCTCTCTCAGTCTCAGCAGTGCACGGGTCATGAGCGTAGATCCCCGTGGCTTGCCACGTGATTTCTCGACTTTTAGCATCAAGGGGTTGATTCTCTCCCCCTAAAGTCGGGAAAAGATCCTTGTCAAAAATGCAATCAGCAAAACGAGCCGTGTGACAGTCACCTGTCATGGGGTCCAGATACCTGATTATGGACACAGTCTCATAACCAACGTATATCCCCGACTTACGGAGTGGGCCCATCGTCGATCGCTGAGGGGGTGGTATTGGTACATATACCTGGCAACCGAACCTACGAAGGTGGGAAATTTTCGGTGCTGACCCTTGCGCAAGTTGAACAGGAGAGTGGATGTTGTAGGCCGACGGTCGAAAGTTGATGAGATTAGCCGCGTGTAACACCGCGTGGCCCCAACATGTAGTTGGCAAATTACAATCCTGAAGTAGCGGTCGGGCAATGAATTTAATTCTTTTAATCAATGCCTCGGCAAGTCCATTTTGTGTATGAACATGTGGTACCGAGTGCTCAACTTTGATTCCCATTGCCATGCAATAATCATCGAACACCTTTGAAGTAAATTCTCCTTCGTTGTCCATTCGAATAGACTTTATACGATAATCCGGGAAATTATTCCTCATTTGTATGATCTGTGAGATCAATTTTGCAAAGGCATGGTTCCGTGTTGACAGCAGGCAAACATTGGACCATTTAGAGGAAGCATCAATGAGCACCATAAAGTACCGAAACGGCCCCGTTAGGGGCTGAATTGGACCGCATATGTCCCCTTGGATACGTTCCAAGAACGCGGGGATTTTATCCCTCACCTTGAGGGGCGATGGCCTAATGACTAACTTCCCCTTAGTGCATGCGGAGCACACGAAATCATCAGGATTCGGGAAGTTCTTCACGTTAACATTATGGCCATGCGAGTTGTTAATTATATTTCTCATCATCCTAAGTCCGGGGTGGCCTAACCTATCGTGCCAGAGGCAGAAGAGTTCAGAACTTCTAAAGACGGTCTTGAGGGTAGTGTACACGGGCGGTGCTACTATCTTAGTGTAGTATAGCCCCGTGCCAAACGAAGGAAGCCTTTCGATAACATGTTTACCACCGGCATCCCGCTTTGTGATGAGTAGGCACTCCTTGTCGTTTTCATCATCGGTCTCAACATGGAAACCATTAGCGCGGATGTCTCTAAAGCTCAAAAGACTAC